GCAGCAAATCAGTATATTAGAATGATTCCTGAAGGATCATGTGACACTGAAGACTGGAGTAATGATGCTGAAAATTCAGCTTTGACATCAGGAATAAATTACAATTGAAAATATATTACAATAGAAAACATTTACTTGAAATAAAAGCATAAGAGACTTCTTTAAAAAATAAAAAAAAAACTTGAACAGTAGTGTATACAACATCACAAAAATGCACAATATAGTCTGAATTTATGTTTGAATACACTCATATTCTCTCAATCCTTCCTCATACAGTGAACTAGCGACAGTCTCGTCAAGATCACATCACCAGTCAAATACTAGTCACTTTACCTTGATACAAATATCAGTAACACATTGTCCCAGCTCAACATAAACCAAAAGTTACAGAGTGCACCTTTTGAAAAAAGAAAAAAAAAAAAACTCTACTTATAGCTAATTCACAAAACTAGTTGTGCTCACCTCCAGGGCCTGTCGGAGAAAGGTCCTCTTCTCTGATTTGGCCCATTCAATGCACTCCAAACATAACTCCACCTCCTGACCAGTAGCTGCCTCCATGTCCAAGAACATATCGAGCAGAGAGCGCACCAACCGTGCTGCCTTTGCTTTGCTGATGGAGTTCAGGAATGGTCGGACATACTTCAGCAAACCTCCCAATTCTGCAAAATCCCAATACATGCGCAATAGTTACTAACCTTGAGAAAAATGACAGCTGACTGCACCTTTTGAAAAAAGAAAAAAAAAAAACTCTACTTATAGCTAATTCACAAAACTAGTTGTGCTCACCTCCAGGGCCTGTCGGAGAAAGGTCCTCTTCTCTGATTTGGCCCATTCAATGCACTCCAAACATAACTCCACCTCCTGACCAGTAGCTGCCTCCATGTCCAAGAACATATCGAGCAGAGAGCGCACCAACCGTGCTGCCTTTGCTTTGCTGATGGAGTTCAGGAATGGTCGGACATACTTCAGCAAACCTCCCAATTCTGCAAAATCCCAATACATGCGCAATAGTTACTAACCTTGAGAAAAATGACAGCTGACAGAGTAGTGGCCTTCAAAAACATCAGATACATTAATATAGATACATTAATATATGTGTATACTGATTGGGCCATAACCCACTAGATGAAGATGTTTACCAGCAGCTTGTCCAGTCTTGGCCAGCAGTCCGCCCAGCTCCAAGATACTCTGTTCTTTGACACGCACAGCCTCTTCGTCATTGTCTTGGATGTCTCGCTTGACTGTGAATGTATACAAAGTAGATAATTGTATTATTAAATGTAATTATATAGTTAACTTAGACTTTCTGGTGACAATACAGGCAAGTTCATCTTGGGCATCATGATCCTCAACTAAATTACTAGCTAGACTGGTGGGCTTCAAACCCTGTTGATAACAGCAGGGGAACATGGACACCTTAATTAAACAGAGTAGTTGAATTTTTGTTTAATTTATAAAAATGTAGATTCCCTAAAGTTGCTCCAAGCTAAAATTAATTACATTTTTTTAAAGCAGATCAAAAAGGAATGCCTTGAAAGTCTCTAAATTACTTGATGCAAGCTTAATTTAACTTAGATTATAACTTGCTTTGCTTATTGAATTTTGCTTTTTGAAATATTTATTTTGTCTCCATGTATGCAGCTTGGATTTAATGTGTATAAAAAATATTGCCTATTTGTTATATGAAGAGATAAAAAAAAAGTTTAAACTTGAAACATTATATTCTGCCGCAGATAAACAAAAAATGGCGTTGCATGCTATCAAATTATCACAAGTTAACACGTATCAAACTTAATGCCAAACAGAACTTGCTGACAATGTCATTTTATAGCATAACCAAGCGATAAGAGAGAAAAGCAGTTGACTACTGACCGTAAATGTAAAGAACCTGTCAGTCATGTTAATGACTCAAATCTGCCACAATTTAGTTGCAATAACATTTCTCAGACTTACTTGAAATTAAGTGCCTTCCCACTATATTAATTCATACCTAAATATTATAAGCGAACAGAATGTCACTAGCTAGCGAATCTAACTCAGTTGTCATGCAAAGTTGTGGTAACTTAGTTCCTTCAAGCGACAATTATTTAGAAAACGCCAGTCATTTCTCTATTTGAATATATTTCACCACATTTAAGAGGCCGATCACATAAACATTTATTTATGCCTGTTTTTCCAAACACATTCAGAACACTAACGTTACATAGAGATTCGCGTTCATTGAGAACTGAAGCTAGCTGATTGGCTAACTGTTTACACTGGTGGCAGTTCACTGAAAATGGCCTTTTCTTTCACTACAGGCTACGAGCAATAAAACTACATTTGAGGACAAAGTCTAAAAGAGCGCAGCAGCTCGTTTAAAACATTAACAGTTAGTAGGAGTACAGTGTATTTGTCCAGCTACAGTCTTTCTCAGCCTGTCACAGTGAGTCAGCAGCATGAAACCGGCTAACACATTTAGCTGCTGTTCTAGAAATCACACGAGGGACATGATCCGTGAGTTGAAAGCACAGCCTCTTCTGCTAAAATCACACAAGCGGTTCAAAGGCCGGCGGGACACAGTACACTTACCGATAGCATGTAAAATGTCAATGGACGCATTCCGATCCGTACTGAGCAGCGACTGTGCTCTCTGAAACTCTACCGCTGCAGCCGCCATCTTACCAATTCACCAATTGCCTTCTTCTTCTTCTTTTGGTTTTATGGCGGGTTGCGAACCAACTTCCTAGGTGCATACCGCCACCTACTGTGATGGAGTGTGAAGAGAATGTACTAAATCTTAAATTCTGTTCATTATTCCACAATTCGATCCTGCCGCCATCTTCACTCCGAGCAACACCCCTCACCAATTGCCTGATTCACATTACAATCATCATTAAACACGCTACCGGAAGCGCCGCTGAGGCACGCTGGGAGACTGAGTCCACGGAGACAGTAGTCTGTATGACTCACTCTAGGAGGCTGTGCTTGGTTTTGCGTTTAGCTAAAAGCTAAAAAGATATTTTTACAATCTCGACACATTTTTAAATACTTAAAAAAAAAAAAAAAATTCACACAACGGCAATCTATGTTGGCTAAACTGTGGGTCATTTTCAATTGCTTTGGCAGTGGCACAAAATACATTTAGTGAAGACATCTTTCAATTTATATATTCTTTTCTCACTCAGACCCAGCCACCACGAAAATTCTTCAAACTAGCACACGTACATCACGATGTCTGCAAGACATATTTTTTTAGAGTGTTTGCTCATCTGCAATACTTCTATAGAACGTTTCCTATTAGATGACAGATAGACATTTAAAAATGTCTTTAAGATGTTTATGATTTAGAATGTATGTAAAACTGACATCTTAAAGACATCTGTCAGATGTTTGTAGCAGATGCTTTCCAGATGAAGAGATCTTTAACAGACATCTTGCAAACGTACGTGTGCTATCTGGGTTTTGAAATCTAAACATTTAAATACAATCAAAACAATTAGATGTAACTGAGGTGTTAGTTTTTAATCAACTTATAAAAATAATTTTGTACTGTAATGTAAACATGGACCATGTAACATTGCTGTGAATTCTAAACAGAGCAGTCATTCTTGATTTGTAAAGAAATTTTACAAAAGAAAATAATTTAAAATTCGACCTGTTGTTAGTGTTTTTAAGTAATTGTTTTATGAGTGACAAAGTGCTCTTTAGAGTGACAACCTTTGCTAGTGTTATGGTTGAATGACTTGATTTGAGACATGCACAGTATGAAGTATTTTGGTAGTTTTAGTGCATTTTGGATGTGAAATTTACTGCTGTGCCAAGCAAAACGTTAAGGTAAGGAGAAGTGTGTAAAGACAGCTTTGAAAAATGTAACAACTAAGTATTGAAAAATGTAGCCTAGCGATTGTAAAAAAAACAAAAAACTGTAATAGCACATCCATGATTTTGACGTTTAACGCAAACCGTCTTGAATGCTGTAAATGACTGAATTTTGAAGAATTTACTTGCATCATGCCATAATCTATCACTATGTAACCCAATAGATAGATAGATAGATAGATAGATAGACAGACAGACAGACAGACAGATAGGGACGGACGGACAGACAGACAGATAGATGACCTTATCTGTCAGTATCTGAATACCTATTTATCTGTCTGTCTTCTCATTTTAGCCAGCGCCTAAATTTAATCTAAGCTTAAAAATATTAACATAAAAGGGTGTAAAACACTCAGATGGGTCACCATTAAAAAAAAAACTATTGCTTACTATTACAAAGTCAGAGCAGGATGATTGGATAAGCATAAGAGACTGAGAGAGTGTGTGGGTGGGTGTGAGAGGGAGATCAGAGGGGGATGGGGTTGCCCATTCATGTCACTGCGCCATTGAGGTCTACAAAGCCTCATCGACATTACTGCACATCAGGATTTAAGTTAATCTGTATCGAGCCTTGTGTGTGAGACTTTCCACACTCTCTGGGTTTTGATTGAGTAACTGTCAACAGCTGGCACGTCATGTAAAAACAGAGTGTCTAAAGTCAAACGTCTACCTTTCATGTTCAAGCTCAGGAGATGCTATAACAGATGCTGGTGCTGTGGAGAGCGGTTTCAGACAGCGCACACATGACGGACAGCATGGACAGATAACTAGAGGGAGCTCAGCCAAGTTCCCACCCATCTGAGATTCAGCATCTCCATGAGAGAGCACCAATGCACCCCCCCCCCCCCCCCCCCCCCCCG